TAGTTGGGGTAAACGTAAACAGGGGCAATTGCAAACACGTTTAATATCATTTGAATTTGGCGCCTATGAATGGCGCCGAGCAACGACAGAGACACTGCAACCTTTATCCGCATTCCATTGTTTACTCCGATTGTTTGTGCTACCGGTTTAGCAGAAAAAAAATTATTTTCGTGCTTGATATGTAAAAAGTTGTCAAGCAAATTTGAAGTGATCACTTTTTTTTGCAAAAAAAGTTGAAATTGATCCAGGTAAGTTGTGTAATATATGTATTTGTTTTGATTATAATTGAACTAATGTCTTGTCAGCATATTTTGAGGTACCTATCACGGAGTGACTATTTCACATATGTTTACAATTGCCCCAGTTATATAAAACTCGGGGTAATAGTAAACGGATTTTTAGGGGAATTGTGAACACTTTTAATTGTTTGGGGTAATTGTAAACACAATTTGTTTTTTCTTCCAGAAATACGATGGTGAGAAACTACCAAAGAAAAAAGAAAGATAGTCACAAATATTCCGAAGCAGATCTGATTAAAGCTGTGAATGATGTGCAGACCAAAAGTAAAACATTCAGGCAAGCACAGCAGGCTTACAATGTTCCTATTGCAGTTATTTACAATAGAATAAAAGGTAGAAAAAATCCCATTACTGTTTTGAAAGCAGGGCGCCGGCCTGCCTTACCCGCAGATGTAGAAGATACTACAGCAAATTGCCTTATTGCTCGGGCTAGAATGAGTTGGCCTGCTGACGAGAAGGAGCTGTGTACGTTAGTTGGCGAATATGTTACATTGATGGATTTGAAAACTCCTTTTAAAAATAACTTACCTTCCCATGATTGGTATTTGGGATTTATGAAAAGACATCCACTTTTGTCATTTAAGAAGCGTGAGCATCTACAGAGAATTCGCAAGGACGCCAGAGATCCGTTCGTTGTCTACGACTTTTACCAAAAGCTTAAGGATCTAATGAGTGAAAAATCAATCGACCATCCAAATAAATCCGATTTCGTTTTTAATGCAGACGATTCTGGATTTAGTAGTGATCTCTCCCGAGTAAGAGCGATTGGTGAAAAAGGAAAAGCTCTGTCTCGAGTTTCGGGGGGCTCGGGAAGAGAGTCGACAAGAGTATTGGCCTGCATTGCTGCAGACGGCACTTATCTCCCTCCATTTATTGTGTTCAAAGGAGGGGCGGTCCAAGCACGTTGGACCTCCGAAAAAGCATTTCCAGGAACGTTGTATGGAGCATCGAAAAACGGATGAATGAGGGAGGCTCATTTTTACCATTGGTTTGTGACATCGTTTATTCCCGAGGTAAGAGCTCGCAGACTTTCGCGTAACCAACCTAATCAAATAGCTATCCTACTGTTCGACGGCCACTGCAGTCATGTAAACGTCCGTATTGTAAATGCTGCTATCCAAACAACATAGTACTCTTTCGATTTCCCAGTCACTTGACTGATAAGATACAGCCTTTGGACAAGTGTGTTTTCGGCCCCGTAAAAATCAAATGGGATAAAATATTAGTAGCCCATGGCAAGTCTGAAATGGACAAATCATCGGGTAGGCTAAGTAAATAAAAAATTGTGGAGCTGTTAGCTGAAGTTTGGAGAGATGGTATAACACTAGCAAACATCATATCAGGGTTTGAAAATACTGGTATATTTCCCATCAACTGTGCAATGTTTTCTGAAGAGTTCTTTGATCACATAAAACTCAAAAAGTACAAGGAGAACATTAAATCTGTATCCTTGGGGATACAATCTTCTGATGAACATGTTGAACCTACTGCGGGAACATCCGTTATAGAGCAGAACGGTCCTATTCCTGCACCATACCCAAAGATGACTCCACCGGAGATGACTCCAGGAAAGGAGCCAACAACTTTACAATTTGTTTCCCAACTGCCACAACACCATTCTTCGAACCGCATTCTTCAATTATTTACTCAAAAGTTGCAGGAAGCATGTAATAATACTGCGTCAGACGTAACCAGTGCCCTTCCCAGAAAAGTTGTTCCACGTTTGAAACAGTCTACTTATGGAGAAGTCTTAACCACTCCTGAAGTTTTGAAGAAACTGAACTCAATATAAAAAGTAGCCACCCTGTATAGGACGTTCGAAATGATTGTGATATTTGGACCTGTAATTATACTGTACTGTATTGCATTGTATTACATTATATTGTGTTGGTATTGCACTGTACTGTGTTGTGTTGTTTTGTATCGTATCATATGATATTGTAGAGTATTGTATTGTTTGCGAACTAAAACCAACTAATATGTATAGCTTTTAAAAATGTATCAGGTCAAATAATCTTAATTTACTTCGAAATGTTATGTGATTCGAGAATATTGGGAGCTTTAAATTTGTGGAACGACAGGACAGCACTCTACAGAGACGTTTAATAAAAAACAAAGGTGGGAAACCCCTTAAAAATTACTAGGTACATATTAAAAGAAAAGCACAAATTTTTATATATTTAATACAGAATGGCGCGTATATGGTATTTTTTGAAATTCCTTTCAAAAATTATGAATATAAATACTTTTCGAAGGTTGTAGCATGTGATGTTGGTTTTACTTACTGTGTTTTAGCTCAATTTTAATTAGGGCCGTGAGTAGCACTTAATAACCTGGACAAAACTTAACTATAGGAAAGGGAAGGAGAGCGCCACCAAACTTACATAAACATATCATTTAAGGTGAATTATAATAGTTTGGCAAATATAATTAATATGACTGATGTTAAAACAAGAATGTATGCAGGCAAGTAACAATTACAATCTACACAAGCCATGATTCATTTAAATTACTTCTGTATTTAATTTTCAATGATAAAAATGAAACTTATCTCAGAGTAGGAATGGTGTTAGGTCTTCAATCTTTCTTTAAGGGTCGATCAAATAAGGACGTTCTCCTACAACGATGCGTTTTCTTCTAACCATAAATTAACATGTTTGTTACATAACTTCATATATCTTCTGACCATACATTAACATTTTTGTAACCATAACTTCAACTATCTTCTCAGCGTATTTTAAACCATATTTTCAATTATCTTCTCAGTGTATGTTTAAACCATCCAAAAGTTGACTTATCTAAAAGATTGAGACCTTTTTGAAGTTTACGTAATAAGGAAAAATAAGGAGGTAAGATGTTTCCGAACACAATGAATAAAAAATAGATCTTTACAGAAATTAATGACACGTTCTAAAACATCTAACCTTACATTTTTAACAACTAAATAAATCCCGATCCATTTCGTTAATCTTTGCAGAAATCTTGTAAATATTAATCTTGTACTCACCATAAAATACTGATGGTTGTCACCACTAATAAAAATCTGATGTGTCCAACACATGACTTTCCTATCTAGTTATTATAGGCTTTTTCCGATTATTTTGTACAACCTATTGCAGCATCTCTATAAATGTTTAGAGGATAAACTAAATATATACATTGTCCACATACATCTACCTCGAAACATTTTTCTATAGATATTCATGGAAAACGAAAATACTGAAAAATTTAAATTTCCTACAATTTTTTCATTACGGTCCATTTTATAAAAATCATGTATAAACAAAACTTATAGAGATCGATATCGCAAACAACTTTTATTTCAAAAACTTTCATAAAAATCAGAATTTTGCACATTTTGTCAAATTTCTCGAATACGGACCATTTCAGGAAATTTTTACATAAAACAAAAATTATAGATAATAATATTAGAAGTAACTTTTATTTGAACAATTTTTTTCTCCAAACATTAATAACAGATATATTCCATAAAATATAAAAGTGGCCTCATATAAAGTACCCCCCCAGATGTTCTGACTGTGTCCGAAATCTAATCATTTCACGTCAGGCCGAAATAAACCTTAAGTTTAAAATTTAATGTTTTTTTCTTTGCCCGTTTTTGAGTTTTCTTCAAAATTCGAAATTTACACATTTTCTCAAATATCTCGAATACGGTCCATTTTAGAAAAATTATGTATAGAATAAAAATTAAAGACAATTAATTATATTACAAACAACTTTTATTTGAACAATTCTTATAAAAAAATATTTTTTTTACATTTTGTCAAATTTCTCGAATACGGACCATTTTAGGAAAATTTTGCATAAAACAAAAATTATAGATAATTATATTAGAAGTAACTTTTATTTGAAGAATTTTCTTCTCCAAACGTAAATAACAGATATATTCCATAAAATATAAAAATGACCACCTATAAAGTACCCCCCCAGATGTTCCGACTCTGCCCAAAATCTAATCAGCTCATTGGACGCTGAAACAAAGCTTATGTTTAAAATTTGGTGTTTTTCTGTGTATCGGTTCATGAGTTATGCGTTATACAGACACACACAGACACACACACACACACACACACAGACAGACATCATCGCGAAAATAGTCAAAACGGATTCAGGGGACCTCAAAACGTAAAAATCCGTCGAAAACTCGAGGTCGAAAAAAATCATGATTCCTATACTTTCCTTATATCTGTATACAGATAGGAAAGTAAAAATACCACATACTGTTTAAGATTAATTAAATATTAGCAGATTTAATAATCTCGACTGCCTCGGTCTGAGGTCTAAAAGGACTTTTACCAGTAATACCTATCGAAAGTCAAATTCACTTTCGATCCGAACATACAACTTATAAAACCAAAAATAACTATATAAAATATTTGTAGCGACAGAATAAAACTAATGATCCTAATAGAGATGGGACTATCATTTTAAAAATATAGTTATAAATTATTAAAATAACGGAACTAGAAGAGTAACCGTTACAAGGTTTACAAAAAATTAAAGTTTCTCCAAGTTCTGTTAATATTGCTATTTCAAAAAATCGGACTAAAAATAATGGCTTAGAAGAAATTAGAAATTTTCAAGGTTAGAATCGCCTTAGTGGCCTCCATCCACAGTTAACGTTTCCCAATGAATCAATCTGTCTATACAAATAAAAAAAACTTATCAATTTATTTTTAGGTGTTGGAAAAACTGCTTTAGTTACACGATATGTTGAGAATTCCTTTCACCGTCAGATAGCTCCAACAGTTGGTGCATCCTTTTTTACATGTAAAGTAGAGGCTGATGGCAACATGGTAACTCTGCAGGTAAGAACTTACAATATATTACCACCGTATAACCTCTGGAGTCCCGAGCATGCAAATATTCAAATTTATTTATACAATTTGGCAAAGTCATTAGGAAAACATATAATTTTTAATTTTTTTTTTTTTTATTACAAAAAAATTGTAACTTAGTTGGACATTGGGCCAACATATGACAAATTTCGCCTGTGATAATCTCTAAAACAATTGTTCGTTCCAGTTAAACACAAAAATATATAGTAAGACTCGCAATAAATATTTGTTTTTAGCTAGCAACCATGATTTTTACATCGCACGGAACTTTTTAGATCAGATGCGATTACAGCACAATGCCCGAATTTTCGTATTTTTGTTTTTTCTCAACAGACGAAGAGTTTGAGGCTCTTCGATATACAGAACTTCTTGTAACTAATGATGAAATACTGTTATTATTAGATTTTTTAGTGTTTGATTTTATCAGTAACTTATTTTGAATTCCAAAAACTTCATAGGTCTCTCTTCCATTTTTTTTTTGTTACAATATCCAGGAATTTGCAATACTAAGATCAAACAAATGAAAAATTGTCTTCATGATCAATTTTTTACTTCTTGTTCCCCCCGCTCGGTAATAATTTATCATCCGGTCAATAAGGTCTATCCTACCCATGCATTCATTGTATTTTCAGACAATATTTTTCGTGGAATTTCAATAAAATATGAGATTTTTTTGATCATCGTTTGCACTCATCGCGGCGGGATTAATTGGTAAAGATATCGAATGTACAGATTTCATATCATACTACTGCACAATATTTATTAGTTCGAGGGTAGTGTGGGGCTCGGATTTCAATACGCACTAAAAATCACCTCTGTGTGCGCCCTCTTCCGCAGTCGGAACCATCATTTCTGACTTATGTCGATCTGTGGGCGGCTGTCTTATTCTTCGTTTCTTTCGTCTTCCTCCTTCCTGGTCATGGTTTTTTTAAGTCCTGCAATAGCGTTAAATGTATCCTCGTCGATAATATTTTCCAGTGTAAGCTGCTTGTTCTGTTTGCCCTTTATCGTAGATCGTTCTAGGGCAGTCTAATAGTGTATGTTCTGCCGTATCTATCTGCTGGCAGTAGATACATCTGTCGTCCTCTGTTCTGCCTATTCTCTTAGTTAAAGTTTTAAACGACCCATGACCAGTCAAAAATTGGAATTTTGTTCAGGTTTCCAATCTTGAGAAAAGTCTCTTTGTAGTGTCGTTCCATCTTGTTGGCCATCGACTTATGCTTTCTGTTCTCGGCGTTTCCTTTTCAGCTCTTTCCAAACATCCATGCCTCTGTATGTGCCTGTGTATGTCATGTCTTTTATGTGCGAGAGTATCTGCAGGTGGAGTTCCCTCTCTTTTAAGACTACTTGGTTCTCCTATGTTCGGCATTAACCTGGCCAGAGTTGCGGTTTTATTATCAGTTTTCTCGTACGCTCTACTAATGTGTACTCCAAAGGAGGACTGATGATCTATATGTATGCCAGATACTTTATGGATTTCGATGGGGCTATTTGCAGGTTTTCAACGTTAAATTTTATTTGCTCTCTAATCTTTGCCAATTTAGTACCTTTTAGGATGACTGCTTCTGTTTTTTGAGCTGCTAACTGTAGCTTCATGGTTTGTATTCAGTATCCAACTTGATAGATGCTGAAATTTTCTCTATGCACAAGATCCTTATCCTTATTTGTCGCTTGGGCCATAATTGCCAGGTCGTCTGCAAACGTACATTTTCACATCCATCTACGAGTTGTAGGTCTAGGACATCATTGTAGATAATATTCCAAAGGGTCGGTCCAATGACCAATGGACCGATCCCTGCGGGATACCAGTATTTACCTATAGGTCAACGTTTTTATCTAGTTTAATCTTGCGCTCCGAGAAGTAACTCTTTATAGTTTCAATCAGGTATTCGGGTTGGAGTTTCCTTTTTAAGCTATCAATTATTATTTTCCAAGTGGCAAGTTGAAAGCATTTCTAATGTCTAGGGCTATCATCGCTATCCATTTATATGTCGATTTCTTCACAAATTCCATGACCCGAATGCCATTATGGTGGACTTCCCCTTCCTAAACAAATTGGCATGTGGATAACCCTTCCATGCCAAGTGTTAGTTCCTGTCTCTTTAATTATCCTTTCATACCCTTTACTAAACTCGTCTAGTAGACAGATGGGTCTATAGAAGCTAGGATCATCGGGTTGTTTATCCTGTTTCTGGATAAGTACCAGTTTTGCTATCTTCCAACTTGTATGAAATTCCCGTTGTTTTAATAGAAAATGTATTATTTCAAGGATCAGTTTCGGGTGGTATGCCATTTGGCCAGGTACTTTCATCGACTTTGTTCTACTGGTTGCCTCGTCCAGCTCAGCCAGGGTAAATGTAGCCTTTGGGAGTTTTAGCCAAGTGTCCCTTCTAGTTTTAAATAGGTTTTTGGCAATTGTTTCCTTGGTTTGCAGAACTTACTCAACCTAAACGTTGTAATCACCTTACACTTTTTACCCTAAAGGCAGTTCTGGATGAGCTAGATAAAGTGTAGGGCACAGTTAACAGGAAGTTTATCAGAAGGATAATATATTTAAAACAGCAGTTATTGTGAAGCAAGATTTTTGTCTTTATTTACAAAAATAAAGCAAATAAAGCAATAAAAACCGGTATTCCTAATAAGCGGCGAAGCTTCTTGGAGATATAATATCAAAGTAAATCAATAATACTCATGGTTGTTACGCAGGTTTTTGGTATCGCAATTTATTTCAACTCAACTTAACAACAATTATACAACTGATAACATTAACATGTAACGTCTATCATAAAACTGAAATCTGACATCAGGATCATCCTTATATTGCTTTCTTGACCATTCTCGAACCTTCTTGAACTGTCGTCTAGAATATTCTTGAAGGGGTAATGATATTTCCATACATTTCTGGACTATTCTATCTTCTTTTACTTGTACTTTTACTTATGACGACCGCAGTACACTGTAGGGCGATGAGTAACATTCCACTTATTTTTTCTATATGTACGTTTCCTATGATAGCCGCAGGCTACTGCAGGGTGCTGCCTAACATGGTATTTCCAATCAACGGTGAAAGCCACCTGGTTAATTAGCAGTATAATTAACCTAATGAAAATTTTTACAAAATACAAATAAATAGAAATAAATCACCAAATAAAACCTCCAAGTCGATTAAATATTAAGTTTAAGGTTAGGCCAATTTAGGTTTATTTCTATAATTTTCAATATTATATTCATTTAGACTGTAGACTCCGTTTTACGTCTTATAATTCATTATAAATAATTTGAGAACATACTTTTATACTTGCTGCTTTCTTACGACCTATAAGCAGTCATAAAAAAAACTAAAAACAGTATAATTACGGCAGACTAATGCAGCATATATTATCCCAACCGAAAAACAATCTGTCTTCGATGAATAAACCCAACGTACCAAATTTTGTTTCCATACTTTTGTTCCACTCTATATATGCAAAATTCTATAATAAATCATCTATTATTTTATTTTAGATATGGGACACAGCAGGACAAGAACGTTTTAAAGCAATGGCCCCCATGTTTTATCGCAACGCAAATGCTGCGTTACTCGTTTTCGACTTAACCTCACAAACTTCTTTTGAGAGTATAAAGATGTGGGTTCAAGAACTGAAAGGGAACGTAGATGAGCCCATGATGTTATGCATGGTTGGAAATAAAATAGATTTAAACGATCAAAGAGAGGTTAGATATATGAAAATGTTAGATTAATTGATTTACTCGGTTAAATGATGTTATGCATGAAAATACAAATATAATCAGTTCTTTAATTTTTAAGCAAAACCTAAACTTATCATTATATTTATTGTTTTCATTTAAAACATTATCAATAACTTATTCCCCAGTTATCAGTTCGAACCAATTCACATGTTATAATCATACTCATCATCTCCACTTTATCGCACATAGTCGAGGAAAATTGAGACCGAAAATCGCTTATTTTTTGATATGATAAAAATTTTTCGAAATAATAAAATAAGGCTTTTTTACTTTTACATCACCGTTTTTTGAAAACTGCAGCTTGATCGAATACTTATGGCATCATCTCGTTATTGCCCGTCGTGGATGGATGGATGGATGGATGGATGGATGGATGGATGGATGGATGGATGGATGGATGGATGGATGGATGGATGGATGGATGGATGGATGGATGGATGGATGGATGGATGGATGGATGGATGGATGGATGGATGGATGGATGGATGGATGGATGGATGGATGGATGGATGGATGGATGGATGGATGGATGGATGGATGGATGGATGGATGGATGGATGGATGGATGGATGGATGGATGGATGGATGGATGGATGGATGGATGGATGGATGGATGGATGGATGGATGGATGGATGGATGGATGGATGGATGGATGGATGGATGGACATTTGACACAAAGATAGATTATAGTCTGGAATAGCACATATGATACTTTTTCTCCCGAAAAAATATACGATTCCCGTGGGATAGATTTGTTTTTGTTTTTCACAGAGTAAGAGATCAGCCATGATTTAGTTGCATAGTGGTAGTGCAACATGAAAATTTGAACTACAGCTACTGAGCATAAATTTCATTTTCATATTTTACGGGGAGAGGGGGGAATATGGGAAAAAGGGAGAAAGGGGAAAAGTTTGTATGGGAGTATCGATTTTTTTAAAGGTAGGAAATTGGAATCGTAGCTACTCATCATAAATAAATAGACATTAAGGAGGAAAAGGGGTGGTGTAAGTTTGTATGAAACTTTCGGTTTTTTAAAGGAAGGAGTTTGAGAATTGGAATTGAAGCTACTCATTATTAGTAAATAATGACGTACTTCAAGGGTTTTGGATTTACTCATTTTGGGGATGGGGAAATTAGGGAGTATCGTTAAACTAAATATTAATAAAAATACACAATTAAAAAAATAAAAGTAAATATAAATAAAAGTAAATATAAATAAAAGTAAATAAAAATAAATAAAAATAAATAAAAATAAATAATAAATAAAAATTAATAAAAATAAATAAAAATAAATAAAAATAAATAAAAATAAATAAAAATAAATAAAAATAAATAAAAATAAATAATAAATAAAAATTAATAAAAATAAATAAAAATAAATAAAAATAAATAAAAATAAATAAAAATAAATAAAAATAAATAAAAATAAATAAAAATAAATAAAAATAAATAAAAATAAATAAAAATAAATAAAAATAAATAAAAATAAATAAAAATAAATAAAAATAAATAATAAATAAAAATAAATAAAAATAAATAAAAATAAATAAAAATAAATAAAAATAAATAAAAATAAATTAAAATAAATAAAAATAAATAAAAATAAATAAAAATAAATAAAAATAAATAAAAATAAATAAAAATAAATAAAAATAAATAAAAATAAATAAAAATAAATAAAAATAAATAAAAATAAATAAAAATAAATAAAAATAAATAAAAATAAATAAAAATAAATAAAAATAAATAAAAATAAATAAAAATAAATAAAAATAAATAAAAATAAATAAAAATAAATAAAAATAAATAAAAATAAATAAAAATAAATAAAAATAAATAAAAATAAATAAAAATAAATAAAAATAAATAAAAATAAATAAAAATAAATAAAAATAAATAAAAATAAATAAAAATAAATAAAAATAAATAAAAATAAATAAAAATAAATAAAAATAAATAAAAATAAATAAAAATAAATAAAAATAAATAAAAATAAATAAAAATAAATAAAAATAAATAAAAATAAATAAAAATAAATAAAAATAAATAAAAATAAATAAAAATAAATAAAACTAAATAAAAATAAATAAAAATAAATAAAAATAAATAAAAATAAATAAAAATAAATAAAAATAAATAAAAATAAATAAAAATAAATAAAAATAAATAAAAATAAATAAAAATAAATAAAAATAAATAAAAATAAATAAAAATAAATAAAAATAAATAAAAATAAATAAAAATAAATAAAAATAAATAAAAATAAATAAAAATAAATAAAAATAAATAAAAATAAATAAAAATAAATAAAAATAAATGAAAATAAATAAAAATTAAATTCATAAAAATTCATAAAAATTTATAAAAATTCATAAAAATTCGTAAAAATTCATAAAAATTCATAAAAATTCATAAAAATTCATAAAAATTCATAAAAATTTATAAAAATAATTATAAATTAATAAAAATTATTAAAAATTAATTAAAATTAATAAAAATTAATAAAAATTTATAAAAATTAATAAGAATTAATAAAAATTAATAAAAATTAATAAAAATTAATAAAAATTAATAAAAATTAATAAAAATTAATAAAAATTAATAAAAATTAATAAAAATTAATAAAAATTAATAAAAATTAATAAAAATTAATAAAAATTAATAAAAATTAATAAAAATTAATAAAAATTAATAAAAATTAATAAAAATTAATAAAAATTAATAAAAATTAATAAAAATTAATAAAAATTAATAAAAATTAATAAAAATTAATAAAAATTAATAAAAGTTAATAAAAATTAATCGGGAACTGTGTGATGTAGAAATCTGTTCTACGATGGTTGCACGTGAGGCAGGTATTTAGATTTGGGATAAGTATTTTGGATAATTGCACAACTCGTACAGTATCGTTCAATATATTTTGCCAGAACGCTATAGTCCGTTGCTTTTCTTCCCTCCTGATTATTTGGTAATTTATCCTCCCCTTCTTCTTCTCTCGTACATCCTGACTCTTTCTTGAACCATCAGTCGGAACGTTTGCTGCATCACACGAACTCGTGCGATAAGCGCTAGCTCCCTTGATTAACATTTGTCGTGTCTTCTTTTTAAACTATATTCAGCCTTTGTTTGTAATAAATTTAGACAAATTGGTTAATTTAATTTCGCGCATGCGCAATACACTTTCAACTTTTGAAAAGTGCCTTTGGACTAGTCAACTTTTCAGACTAGTCCGTGGACTTTTCAAAGCGACCCATCACTATAGTTTGGTCCATGTTTGCCAAATAAGATAGGATAAACAAATTGGGATTAAAAATTTATAAAACCGACTTTATATGGGACCACCCTTGAGGTACCCCCTTACTAACAGAAAAAGAATCATATAAATCGGACAAGGTCGTAAAGCATTATCGCTAAACATACATAAAAAATGAAGAGTTTGAGGATTTTCTCATGAACCCAATTATTAGATTTTGACCAAATTTATATGGGACCACCCCTGAAGTATCCCCTTTAAAAAGAAAAGAATCATTGAAATCGGAATTATCGCTGAACATATATAAAAAAAAATATTACGACTTTTTTGAAGTCGGTTGAAAATAGTGTCAGAATAAATTAATAAAGGCTTGTGTTTCATATTTCTTGTACACATATTATTATTTTAGGTATCACGTGAACAAGCGTTAGCCTATTCGCAAAGTATCGATGCCACATATTTAGAATGTTCAGCAAAAACGGATCAAGTAAATATACATTCATTAATTATTTTTAACTCTTTTTAAAAAATTGTTTTTCAGGGTGTTGGTTTGATTTTCCAAAAACTCGCTCAAGGTCTTTTACGATTGCAAGGCCTTACTTCTACGCTCAAAGTATACGACGACGATATTATGGCAAACTCTAGTGAACTAGAGGCCACCGACACTGCCAACGAAGAGACTGTTAACGTCAGTATAGGAAGTATCGCCCATGGAAATACTGTCAATTTTGGCAAGTGCTGTTAGTCTTAAGAATAGTATTTCTTTTCGTATGCTTGTACAGATAAAAAGAATGTAATGTGATATCGTGACATTTAAATGTATTTCTACTTGCAAACAACTAGTTCATATTGGAAAATTTTTAAATATGAATTTATAAATGAATAAACTATTTTTGACACTGACGATGACCATGAACAAAATTTTAACATATCAATGTAGATATAAATGTTTTTCATATTTATACCGGAAAATATTGGAATATTTTGACAAGATATTTATAAATATTAAAAAACATATTAATGTTGTACAGCTTAAACTAATCTTAATTTTTTTTTTATTTTATCGGAGTTTGAAACAAACATTTGGTGCAAAATTATCGTTATTTGGTGCAAAGTTAATGAAAAACGTATTTAATTGTTAAAAAGATAAACACATTGGTGTTGTATGCCTTATCTCAGAAACATGGATAAATGCAAGAGGAATATAACGAATAATATTCAATAAGTATTAATAAAAACTAACACAAGTAAAATTTTCAGTGTTTGTTTTTTTTTTTCGGTCTAGGACGTTTCGACGCGACCATTTTGACGCAGCCGTTTCGACGCGGCCGTTTCGACGCGAGGACATTTCGACACCGGCCGTTTCGACGCCAAGTGTATTTTTTTTTAGGTAGGTATTAATTCGTACAAAATAATATATTCGAAACGTCTCTTTTAATTTTATTATTAAGAATGCATAATATAATTATGTGATATTGCTTTTAAATATTCGTTTATATTTCTCTTTTTATAATCGATTTTTAAAATCCTCTCGTCACAATCGCGATGTTTTTTTTATTTAGCTGGCGTCTGCTGGCCCAATAGTAATTGTTCATAAAAACAAGTTTCTTCCGGTTTGTAACTTTTTAAGTACATCAATAAATTTCCATATTGTTAGATGATCTATGGACATTTCGTTTTCAAGTCGTCTGTGTGCAGCTTCGGCGTGATTGTTCGTTCTGTCTGTACCCTCCAAAACGAGGTTGTAGACAGACCACAATGTGATCGAAAAGAGTGGATTGCGCCTTCCTTGACCCTGTCGTTGAGGACGTCCTACGTATGAGTCCTCGAACCATTCTATTAGAGGTTGCAACTCATTAGACAATTCTCCAAATAAATGGTCGATTGCAATATCCATGTCTTCTTCAGGAACAAATGCCAAAAACCTCACCATTCGTGCATGAAGACTGAAATATTATATCGACCCAGCAAATTCATTTGCCCCAAATAGTTTTTTATATTTTTCACCAAATTAAAAAAACAACCTAGCAGCTCGGCATTTGAAAACTCTTCTTCGAAAACGTTTATGGCACCCAGTTCAAAATCGTATAAAATCTTCTCCTGATTTGCAGCTGGCTGTAAATGTCCCATCAAACCAATCATTCAGGCATATGTAGTTTGCCGTTTGTTGGGCAGGAGAGTATAAAGAACAGGATGAACTCCCCCAAATTATTTAGCCATAATTATGTAGGTAAAAAATTGAGGCAGTTGGTATAAATGTCCCATCAACAAACCAATATTTTGAGTCCGTCAAAATCTGTAAATACAGGGTGTTTCTAAATTCAGGAGGTGATTGCTCGTATGAAATTAAGATGGGTGTTTCCCATAACAAAATTTCCTCAGCCCACGCCTTTCCGAAATATCACCCTTAAAGGGTGGTGACTAAAATTGAGTTTTTATTTTTTTTCTTCTAAAATTTCAGTAAAGCTAGAAACTTGAAATTCTGTAATTTTCGTGCAAAGGACTAACCACGGGTATTTTTTCAATATTCCTGTTACGTTATAGGGGAGTGAAATTAACAACCCTTACTTTATTTCATATCAAAACATTTTTTCGTGATGAAATTTTATGAAATAAAATTATAATTTAAAATCCTTGTTTTATTTAAAAATTTGAAATTTTTTTTCCCAAAACCAATAGCTCCAAAAAAAATGAACACCATAATTTATAATTTTTTTAATAAATTGAGTGGAAAACAGTAAAGATGTAAAATTTAATACGATTCATAATATTGAAAAACTACCCGAGGTTAGTCCTTCGCGAGTGCACGAAAATTACAAAATTTAAAGTTTCTAGCTTTATTGAAATTGTAGAAAAAAATAAAAACTCAATTTTAGTCACCACCTTTTAAGGGTGATATCTCGAAATGGGGTGGGCTGAGGCAATTTTGTTATAGGAAAGACCCATCTTAATTTTACACGAGCAATCACTTCCTGAATTTTGTCGCATGCATTTAGAAATACCCTGTATATATCTGTGGCTTGGTCGAAAAAGGGCCTATCTAAGAAAATTAAGTTTTGAGATAATCAAGGATTTATATGAAAAAATAAAATACTTATTACTCAAATATTTTTGTTTAGAATTTAATAAATTTTTGCTACAGTATTCAAAAAAGTAATGTTATCCATAAGATATATATATTTTTTTAATAATTGCAAGAATTAATAAATTTTTGATTGTTAGGCCCCTGCATTTTTTAATTCATAAACATAAGCCCTAATTATAATAGTCACATGTAGCATTTAGGCCCAAAAAAATGGTACTTAGGCCTTATCATTAACAAGAACAGTACATAGGCCGTTTTTATTAAATAGAAACGTTGTAAAAAGTAAAATAAAACTTCAGTAGTATTAATAGAAATGATATTTAAGAAAAAAAAAACATGGTTTTATACTAGAAACATAAAATATTATTTTTATAATAAAAAATAATAGCACAAAATCTGTTACTCGTCATATTCTACCGAACCTATCGGACAAACTTCGTCTTCATTGTTTGATGATTTTAAATTCATATAAAAAAGTCGACTATTAGGATGTATGTAACATAACAGACTTTTGATATCGTCCAATTTTTTTTTGGGAGAGGAAGGGGATAGGAGGTGTGTAAGTTTTCTAAGGTAGGCAATGCTTCAGCTAATAGTTGTCCTTTTTTCTTTTTTGTTATATCCCACACTTTAAATTCTTCTTCCAGAAAGCTTTGTTTGTAGAAAAATTTTCCAGGACTATTCTTAGTGTATCTAAAATAGTTTGATTTTAGAAACAACATCTGTTCTCCATCGGCATTTTTCTTTCTGTCTATAAAATATGCTTTTTAAAGAGCACTTATATTAAAGAAATCATCCTGTGACATGTCAATTACTTTAATTCCACCTTTTCGATGGATACCTTTGACAAGTGTAGACCAGTCTCTGGGCATTTCTATGTCTATTGAAGTGTGTTTTTTGGCCTTTTCTATTGATGCCTGAATCGAATCTGCTTCGAGATGTGTATGTCCAGAGATTAGGAATTTATGATTAATTTCTTTTAGATTGTGACCTGGTGGCAAAAATTGAAATACCAAAGAAAGCATTGTTGAGACATAAATATTTTTGTTCTGGCCTGAGCAGCAGTCACTATATAAATTTAGAGTAGTTGTAGAAAAGGGCAAGTTCCTTATGTACTTCAAAAGACAAGATGCAATTTCTTGTCCACCACGACCTGATGTAGTTTCATCCCACATAAAACAAAAGGACTTGTTGTCAACATCATTTGAAACCTCATAGACAGTTAAATTAAAAACCCACAATTGTCTTTTATAAAATGCGATTCCACTTTGTAAGTGAGGAGTCGGTAAACACTTTTGTAAATCAAACATTGCAGTAATAACAGTGCCATCACTTTTGCTTTTTTCTTTATCTTTCCTCTTTTCTTTGTATGCGTTATCTGCTGCCTTTAAATGATCTTGTTTTTCCCTTTCGTAATTTATTCTGTTCCCTTCTCCATTGGAAGCTTTAATTAAAATTTCTAATTTGTCACATTTGCCACATGTATCATTGTGAGGTGGATGGAATAATATGTTAAATTCTGTCACAAAAACCTTCCTATAAAAGTGTTCAGAAACAGGATTTTTTTCGATTTCTTTGCAGTACAGTATGTAAAGTCTATACATTTGTTGGATCGAAAGATCCGAAGATAGGTATCGTTTGTCAGAGTGTGACCTCGAAAATAATGGCTTCTGTAGGCTGGAAATTTTGATATATGTTGCATTACAATCTCTTTGTCTTCTTCTGCTATTTTAGGGTGATTTCCGTGCCTTCCTCTTTGATCAGAACTACATAAACCGCTTCCAGATCTACATTTCTCAACTGTGTACCTCAGTCGTTTAAATCCTACATTGAAGGTATTCAGGAATATTACTTTACACACTTGTACAGGCAATCCCTCTTTTTTTAATAGATAGCTACGAGTAAATGATCGTCTGCTTCCTTCATTTGGTTTATTACGTCGTAACTTTTTAAATTCGATTACTGATGTTGACAAAAATTGAGTTTGTTCGTTATACGTTAAACGATAAAAATCATTAAAAGGGCTTATTCTTTCCTCATGACTGAACTTCTCGTAGCATTTTCTTCTGCATTTACATGGTGCTTTTAAGCTTCTGGCTTTGACGGTCTTACCCTTTTTTGTCCTATATTCTTGGCCTTCAGCTCTTGCAACCTTTCTTTTATTAATTATCCAATTAAACTCATTTCTATTTCGTTTCCTAGACTTTCTTTTTTCCTTCGTCATTACTTCTTCTTCAAAATTACTACTTTCTTCTTCACTTTCTGCACTATAAGTATCATCAGAGTCAGTTGCAAATGGGTCGTTATTTTCCTCATTGCTGTCGTTATCCTTGTCCTAAAAAGTATACAAGTTATTGCTTGAATACAAACGAAACCTACGTATTGTACGTACATTTGCTGGATCCTCGGGAATTTCATCAGCACTATAAATGGTTATATCCGGCATATCCTTAGCATTAGTAATGAACTAGTAGGAGTGGATTTCTAAAATAAATAACATTTTATTTTTATTTGCTGAAAGTAATGTGCAAAGAGCTAGTAAAAACTTAGCTCATGTTGTAAAGTTACTTTTTCTAAGTTCATTATAAAAAGTACATGTTTTTTTATCATTTTCTATGCATAAAGTGGGTCTTTATGAAAAGTATGAAAAAAAGTTCAAAAGTGTGAAAAAAAGTGCCATAACGTGTCATTATTTCACACTTTTTTTCATTCTAATTAATTCTAGTCGACTATGATTTACCTTTTGTTTCAACTGCGAACTGACAGATCGAATAAATATCACGTTAGAGGTAGTTATCGACGCCATTTTTAGTCCAACGAATTAATATTTTTTTAGTTTTTGCGTGAACTTGGAAAAAATATTGTATGAAACTCGTGCATAAAGCATCTTTTTTTTAAAGTATAGTAAAACTGGATCCGAAATGCTTTACACAAACTTTTGTGATTGCTCATTTTGATATTATTTAGCGCTTGGCAACAACAACTGTTAAGACTGTTATGCAAAAAGCAATTTCCAGATCTTGTTTTGCAATGTTCTGTTATTACTTGTTACTTTAGTAGAATGTACGAATGAATTTACCTGAATTTCATGATCCTCCCATATTATATCAGATTTTGTAACTTGATTTAAATGATTATAATTCTCCAATACATCTTGAACCATTTTCTGGGCACGTGACTGTCGAGATTTTTCATTTTGCAGAGACATTTTGCTACCTAAACAAAGCAGTTTTTCTTTTACCACACAAATCAGTTATTCTTTTATTTTACTACACAAATCAGTTATTCGCTTTCTACACAAAA